CCTGGGATGACAGAACCAAGAGCCCACTCATCTTGAGAAATTACTTATCTCTGCCTTTTTGGTTGTCTCACACACACTGTTGATGCTTCCTTCACTATTTCGAGATTGCTGTGGAAATGAGCCTGAATTTCATCGCATGTACTCCTGTGTGTTTGCTGAGGTGTTTGTGGAAGAGAGAGGAATAAGATAACCTCATACTTCCTAATGCCCCCCCAGTATCCTTCAGCAGACTCTGAAACAACAGTTAGCATCTGCTCGGCAAGGTCTGATACCAAAGGGTGAGCGTGGAGTGCTACCAGTTTGATTCACTGCTGCTGAGGCAGAAGGCACTTTTATTTTCATGGGAGGATAATTAAATGCAGGCTAGAAGGGAACAGTGCATGTTTTGGAGATCACTAGGGACAGCTCAGTCATTTCTAGTGTGTATCTCAAAAATAAAGCAAAGCAATGATTCTAGAATCATAGAATCATAGAATCATTTTGTTTGGGTTGGAAGGGACCTTAAAGACCATCTAGTTCCAACCCCCCTGCCATGGGCAGGGACACCTTCCACTAGACCAGGTTGCTCCAAGCCTCATCCAGCCTGGCCTTGAACACTCCCAGGGATGGGGCATCCACAGCTTCTCTGGGCAACCTGTTCCAGTGCTTCACCACCCTCTCCCTGTGTAGAACTTCTTCCTGATATCTAATCTAAACCTCCCCGCTTTCAATTTAAACCCATTACCCCTTGTCCTGTCACTACAGGCCCTTGTAAAAAGTCCTCTCCCAGTTTCCTTGTAGGCCCCTTCAAGTACTGGAAGGTACCGTTCAGGTACAATGATGCTTGCATTAGCTGATTTAAACCTCAGTTGAAAAGATTACAAGAACCATTTCAACCTTTTAAAAGCATGAGCAGAAAATGTAGCTTTAAATGTCATTCCCAGGTTTCCCTTTAATCCTGTAGTTAATAATCCTTGTCTGTGTTTCTACTACAAGGCAAGCTGCACTAGTCTTACCTGCTAGATATTACAATGAAAAATAACTTTATTAATTTCAGTTAATTTACTAATCCTTTGATGTCTATGCCTCCTGCTTTGAAATCCTAAACTTCTTGGAAAAATTTTAGTCCTCTAGTGAGTTAAGAGCTATGATTTTTTGGTGCCATGAATAAAAATAAAAGACACCGTAATAAAACGATATTGCATTAACCTACTATATAAAAAAACCCAGCTTTAAAATGGCATTTGGCTGAACAGTGTTATGTACAAATTCAGATAGGTAAGGTGGGATGAAGTAAAGATTGTTTAAAAAAAAAAAAAGAAAAAAGAAAAGAGATCTTACAGGTAAAAGCATTGGTTTTGGAGTGTTATATAAAGGAAATACCATGCGAGCACACTGTGCAGCTGATGTCAAAATTGAGAATGTACATCGTAACAGCAAGAATCTTTTTTCCAGGACAAGAGGCATCTTGAGTTTGCAACTGAAGGGCTGGTCTGGGCCCAGGGTTTCTCATTTCTGAACAAAGACCAGGTTCAACAAACCAGCTTTTTGTGTACCTGCCAGTCTCAGAAGCACTATTTGGAACATCCTCAAATCCAAGTTTACTTTAAAATTCCACTGATTCATTTTCTTTTAAATCTTTTAACCCAGATAATAACCTAAGAAATATTGCTTTTATATACAAAATGTGACTAACTGTAATCTGCACTGACCAGTGGGTATAAGCCAATCTTAATTATTTCCAAATATTCTAGCACCATACAGTGGAAAACAACTACTACATAGTCTATAAAAATATTTTTTAATTAAACATTGAAGAGAGATAGAAGCATATATAAAAAATAGTTGTAGATTTGAAATGCTTCTCTGCAGAGAATTAAAACATAAAAGGGTTCTTGCTTTTTTGAATATGTAATACAATGATAGATCAGATACTTCCAAGCTAAAGATGCGGTCTGCAATAGACAGAACGTGTCCTGTACATAAGCCAGTAGCAGGGAAGGCAACATTCTTCCATTTAGCACTTTGATGAAGGAATACAAAAAACAACAGAGTAAAACAGTGTTTCCCGCTTCCTCTGGAAATAGTCTCTCTGTAAAATTCCCCTGTTTATTGGTGTCAGTTCAGGCAGCGCCAGCTGATGTATAAGCAGAAAAGCATTAAATGTCAGCAAACACTGTTGAATACAAGAGTCCACTGTGTTCTACGGAATTTGATTAGTAGGAAATATAAGCCGAATCCTGCAAACGTTTCTGAAGAGAGATCAGCCAGTGCAACAGATCCTGAAGACCTCGGTCCGCTGTTACTAAGGACTGGTACCTAAAATGTAGGACCTTAAAAGTGATAATTTCACTTAGAAATTAAGGAATAACTTAAAGTTACCTTGCTCCTTCTGCTCTGCAATCAAGCTCCAAATTCTTTGATTGAGCTTTCTGTCTCTGAAAGGGGAACATGAGCAATTACAATCTACTCTACTGTGTTATCTCAGCCTACCCATGAAATGTCTTATAAAGGTAGCTGACGCGTTATGTTGGCAAACCACAGTATCAGTGATACCAGAGTAGTCTGGCTTAATAACTACTTTAATCGGCTCACTGAAGGAGGCTTGATTTCCTTTACACGTACTGTGGAGTAAGAACATGCGTGTGAAGAGCACAGCGACAAACTTTTGAAGTTTGCTCTGTTGTGCTGCTATACCTCCTAGGTCATCTGGTGGTAAATACAGGATTTAAATAAATATATGGCCTGCCTACAGGGTTTCATTAATAAACTCTTTTGCTTGAAGAATACTTGGCATATTTAACCATCATGGAAGGTTCTTAGGTAGTACAGAAATTGTCACGTGGAAGTGCAGCATTGCCTCCTGTTGTGGAAGGAAGGGCTCTCAAAATCTGTATATAATTTAGAAGTCGCTACCACTGAAGATACTGCTGCAAAGGATTGATGCGGGCTTCAGTAAAATGAAGGAATGGAATAACTGCAGTGATGAGCAAGCCCAGCGTATTTAGGCCCTGGTTAGTGTAGCTGTGATTTGTGTCAGATGAGTTGCATAGATAATATTATTACATTTAGAATTACTTATGATGTGGTTTATGTCCAAATGCCAATTGTATTATAGGATTTTGAAGTCTTAAAACATCACTGGAGATTAATTTTGTATTTCAAAGCTGTTGTAGATTCATGGATAAGCAGATTTACAAATATTGGTCTATAAAATGACTGTTTAGAAACTGTCAAAACTGCCTTCTGCTTCTTACTCTTCAGTTACCTTCCTCTTTTCTGTTCTCATGCCATAGTTCTGTATTAAAGCCTGTCTCACCAAGCATTTACTAGTTCACGTTCAAACCCTTCCAGCTGCCAGGTTGTTGTCTAACGCGTCATTTCCACAGTTACTTTCACTTACAAATTATTTCACCCCTTCAGCTATTTTCAGTTTAGCACCCTAAGCTAATCCTCCTTTAGAGAAGGTAATTCCCACCTGTGTCTGATTGAATGAAGCATCCTAGTCCGATAGACTTTGGCTAGGGAATTGTATTTCCACCACAGCTCCTTGGTGAGGTGTTTTCTTTTTCATTCAGAAATATGTTTCTGCTCAGTATTTCATAACATTTGATTCAGTTCTAATCATGTTGTAGCTTTCTTTAGGGTGCTGTTGTAGAGTTGTAACAACTGCAGCTGAAATTAAAGCAGTTCCCAGGCAGGATACATGTGAAAACAAGCTAGAAAGTGTGCAGGCACACTGTGCTGCATACCTGAAGTGCTGATGCGTTGCTCTCTTTCTGGAGGCTTCAGTTTCTCTCCCTCACCATTTCTTCTGAAGATACTGGTGATACTGAAGATACATGGTCGATTGAACATTAATTCTATGTCTGTAAGAGGGAAATTCATGCCTCCTCACTTACAGACAACCTTTCTTTCCCCTGAGAGCAGAATAATCCTTAAAATGTTCTAAGCGCATATTGGAGCCAATCAAGCTTTCTTTCCTCTAAGTTGAATCCTGTTTAATTAAGGCTGAGGAGGACAAGCCTGCTTGTTTTATGCTGTGAGGTAGCTGCTCCATTCCTCTGTTACCTATCTTATCCCTTTATCTATCCATGCATGATCTTACTAAGGAGAGGAAAGAGAGGCCCATGTCTCTCATTAAACTGAAACCTGGTGTGAGGCGAAACACCAGCCAAGCACTTTAGTGTAGTTTGGCAGAGGTGTTCTTGCAGGAGCAAAGTTATATAGGAAGCAACAAAACAGCAGCCACCCTCGCATGAAAATCAGACACTGCAATTATGTGCTTGATGAGATTAAAAAGGTACCATTTCAGATTACAAGTAATACATTGCCTGAGAAAGCCAAATGCTAAAATGCCAGCATGTATTGTCACTGAACTACATGTTCTCATGCTGGGGCTTCATATGAGGAAATCAATCCGCTGAAAACCAGATCCATGGAAAGAGAACTGGAGCACAAAAATGCTCCAATACAAAAAGTCTCAAGTGGGCTCAAACGTTGTAAATCTATTATATACCCACCGTGAGCCATCTCAGACAGTGATTACAGGAATGCATCCTGTAGTGTCAGTCGTCCATTATTTATCATTTCTGACCAAATTGCTATGGCCAAACTCAGTCTCTATCATTAAATATTGTTTCTTGCATCTGCAATCAAAATAACCCCAAAACTTGTGCAGTGGTTATGGAGTTGCTTACAGGATTATTTCCTGTGCCTTCCAGTACCTGAAGGGGCTACAAGGAAGCTGGGGGGGACTTTTTACAAGGGCCTGTAGTGACAGGACAAGGGGTAACGGGTTTAAATTGAAAGTGGGGAGGTTTAGATTGGATATCAGGAAAAAGTTCTTCATGGAGAAGGTGGTGAGGCTCTGGAACAGGTTGCCCAGAGAAGCTGTGGATGCCCCATCCCTGGAAGTGTTCAAGGCCAGGCTGGATGAGGCTTTGAGCAACCTGGTCTAGTGGAAGGTGTCCCCGCCCATGGCAGGGGGATTGGAACTAGATGGTCTTTAAGGGCCCTTCCAAACCAAATGATTCTATGAAATAAGTGGATTTTTTTTTTCCAGAATAATAACCACAGGGCTGGACTGTATCTGACACAGATGAGTATCAGAAAATCCCACCTCCTTAAAAGGCATCAGTGCCCGAACAGCATTTCTGTGACTGACACACACAGCGGTTGCTAGAGTTTGTCAAGTCTGTTTTCTCCAACTCTTACGCAGATTTTGCTGATATTTTTTTTCCATTGCTGATCCCTCTGAAATGCTTTGAAAGCATCAGAGGAAAGGGAACAAGACTAAGCTAGTCGTTACTGCATTACATAATTAGTGGAATTGCATAAAGCTACCATCAGCAGTACTGCTGTTCTCCTTAGAGAGTCAAAAGCAGTGATAAGGCTGGAGGGCCTGAAATTGTGTTGAGTGACCGTTTAGTTTGTCAAAAATAGACCTGTTGTCATTCAGATCTGAGCTTTCAGCCAGAAACTAGATGGTGCTATTGATAGTTCTGACTAATTTATCTTGGTGTCGTAAAACATTACTTTATCGGTACTAGCAGTTTTCAACTTTTTTTGCCAAACTGATTGTTAAAAAAAGGCTTTTAAAAAAATGCTTGTTAGCCTTATGTGGTGCTGCTTTTAAAAAATCACTTTCTTTAATTTTACTCACTTGTCCAACACTTGGCATATTATATTCTTCTGTACCCTGTAAGTACATACTGCATTACTCCCTTCGCACATTCATGTGCTAATGTGGCGGTAGATAGGCTTTCATTGCCAGGCCAGGGCTGCTGAGAGAGAAAGAACAGCCTCTGAGAAATTAGCAGTGTGCTCGCTGATCAGTGATTATGAACACCCGACCACTGCTGCACAGTACAGTAACAGGTTTAAAGGTTGCCACGGAACAATATTGAAATACCATTCTTCAAGGTCCAGTGTTAGAAGTCATAACTAAAATACTGATTTAAATCTACTGCTTACCTTTGTCTAAGATAAGCTTTAAAAACTACTTTGGAGATTTTTTTGTTGTTGTTCATAGTCAAGATTAGTCTGCTGTTGAACTATTTAAAGGTTAGTTAAATGCTTGTATTGAAAAGTACAATGTAAAGGTGACCTCAAAAATCTGCTTAATAAATGGGAACTTATGCCTTCATTATGTTTTCTATATAAGTTTTTAGAGTGAGGTCACCACAGATGACCTTGATTTGGTTTTGTGTCCTTGGCTGAGATGCATTCAATTTACTGCAGTATTTTGTTCAGCTATCAGTTTATCCTTGCTTTGAGTTGTAGTAATAATAAGGTCATCCATAAAGATCAGTTTCTCTTCAGTTCCTCTCTGGCTCTACAGAGGTGCTAAAAAGTGATCAACTATTTGTATTATGGAACTGCTGCTTCTGTAGAAGATACTGTAAAAAGCTCATGTTGATGGATTATTAATTTGGGGTGGTTTTTTTGGGTTTTTTTTTTGACAAATAGAATGATTGCTATGACACTGACTAGAACATTGGTGTGCCTGAAAGTTTTTTGGATAGTTACGGTTGTTCAGCTGGGGAAGGGTATTGTGCGGAAGCCAACAGGACTTTCACACGTGATGCACAAAGACTGCTGTTCTTCCCCAAACACTGTCAGGTATCAGAGGCCCCAGTCAGTTCTGCAAGGTAACAAAAGCTGTTGTGAGCTGCTGGGTGCTTTCAGTTTGGAATCTCTTCTCTCACGTCCAGAGCGGTCAGCATTTTGTGGCAGCAGGTGGTTCTGTCGCGGTGCCCGCAAGACCATCGGGGTTAGCTGCTGTACGAGAAAAGAGACACAGGGCTTTTCATTAGGGGACAAGGTAAGAAAAGGTCACTGCCAAACTGTGCTGCAGCCTGTTTAGAGGAAGAAACGAGGTTACCTGTTCATCATCACTTAAGCAAACAAATAAGCACAACTCCTGACTTGTCATTTCTGTATTTCCAGTAACGAAGAATACACGAAGAGTACAGCTAAGAGAAGTGACCATGGTTAATGAAGAGCACTTTGTGCACCCCTGATTTAAGAAGGAGGAATATGCTGAGCCTAATAGACAAAGAGTAATAATCGACTGAACTTATTCTAAGAAGTGTCAGGATCTTTGAACCATAGAAAAGATTGATGGGCTTGGGAAAAATGATGTGAAACATTCCACACTGCTATCATCTGCTGTTGCTTGCTGAACTGTGAAGAACTCTGTATTCAGGCTGCCTTCTACTATACTGCCAATCACCTTTTCTTGGACTTGAAAGCGATATTTTTCTTACCAGCTCTCTAGTGGTTTCATTTGCATGCATTCTGTAACCATGCACAGGCAAAATCTGTTATCTGCTTTACCTATTTAAAAATAAGCACAGTGGTGAATAAAATTAATTTCATTTTTTTTGACCCTTCCGTTCTAATCACGTAGGTCCACATCAGTGGAAATTGGAATTGATGTCACGCAAGGGTCAGGGTAAACCTCTGCACATACTGAATGGAAATGAGCCTCTAAAGATATTTTCACTGTTGATGAAAAGGAGAAAAAAAATGTTATTTATACAAGGCCTTATGTTGTGTACATATAGTGTCTTTGAAATATTTTTGATTTTAGTTTATTTCTTGTAAAAGAGAAATTATATAATTTATTTAGTAAATACTACTGTAAACTATAGTTTTATGGATAAATAAAATATTTTGTTCTCAAGACTATCACAGCTGTCAGCCTGCTCTTGATCTCTACAGGACTCGCTGTTCCGGCGTTTCTCTACCATCATGAGATGGTCCTGAGAGGCATCTCAAGAGCTGTGACAGCCGTGCTATAACATGGCATCTGTCTTTATCTTCTACCAGCTCTACAATACAGAGGGGAGTCCTGACATTAGAGCAGAAAAGGATCATCCTCAACAGGCATTGCTTCATAAAAACATCTCAGGTTTTCGGTACGGGCAATCATGTGAAGATAACTGTAGAAACTTTTCTGGTTTCCTTAATTTCCCTAGCAGCAGAGAGATAATCCCAGACACCAGTGACCATCAATCCAAGATTTCACAATCTGATGCAGTGGTGTACTTAAAAACTACACGCGTGCCACTTCGAAATTTTATGTAAGTTATTGATAGTAACATTTCTTATAGGAGTAAGCGTAGCAAACCTGCTGCATTGGGCAGAATTTGGCACGTTAATTCCTAGAATTATGCTTTGTACTTCTGAAGAATTTTTCATTTAAAATTTTGGTGTACTGAGGGTTTTATTGGCTTGGGGTTTTTTTACTTTGATGTAATCAGATAACCTTGACAAGGTGTTATTCTTAATTACGCACAGAATAGAGAAACAGAAAGTTGTGTGGTTTGGGGTAGGGTGGTTTTTTTTTTTCTCTCTAAGTATGTTACCAAGTCTGGCCTGTGTCTCATGATTACCTCTTTCCCCGGATCTAAAATTAGATTGCTTTATCTCAGGAAGATAATTTCTCTGCAGCATTCCTTTTAGAAATGCCAGAGACCAAGCTGCATGCCCTTAGAGCAAAGACATTGTTGTACATCTGTGTGGCATGTCTGCTCCTTCATACGCAGTGTATAGCACATATAGAGTGGGTCTCTATGCAAAGTAGATATTTCTGATTAGTCTTATCTGGGGAAAAAACCCATGAAATTTCTTAGGTTAAGCACCAGGTTAACCTTCATAAAGCACATACGTGTCACTTTTTCCCAATTACCTAGCAGACTCTAGTGTCTGAATCATTTATCCTTAGGACAACCCCAGAGGACACACAACTTAACTGCAACAATTTGCTCCATACCCAGAATGTCTGTACTAAATGATTCAGAGATGGATCCATCCTTTATGTACAATGCCTTTAGCAGTCATTTATAAATTAAAAAAGTCACTTAATGCAAAAGGAAATTCCGCCTAGACTATGGAGCCTACTGGGAAAGCCTTCTCCAAAGCAAGCCCATGAGAGGTAAGAGGGATTACAGCTGAGCAATGCCTAATGGCCAACGACTTGAACCCATTTCTTTCCCCAGCACATGAAATGGTATAAGGCTTCAAACATCAAAGAGTACAGGAACTTGTAAGGATGTGTATGTTTTGTGCATAAGTATTTAGTTTCTCTTCATCTTGCACTGTTCTTTTGCGCTGGGAGCACTTTGATGGAAATGCAATGACTATTAAGTGCTGAGGCACTGGAACAGGTTGCCCAGAGAAGCTGTGGATGCCCCATCCCTGGAAGTGTTCAAGGCCAGGCTGGATGAGGCTTTGAGCAACCTGGTCTAGTGGAAGGTGTCCCTGCCCATGGCAGGGGGGTTGGGACTAGATGATCTTTAAGGTCTCTTCCAACCCAAACCATTCTATCATTCTAGGATTAAATGTATCTATAAAGCTGATGAGGCAGTGCATGCCACATGAAAATAAAAGGTATACAGAAGGCATAATCAACTCCCTGGGGTATTAAAGTAATGTATTGGTCTATTTCTCCAGGTCTAAACAGATGGGACTCTCTATAGGGAGCAAAATTTGAAGAATTAGGTCACAGACGTGGGCTAATCTGAGTGCAGTGGTATCTGAATACTCTGGCCCTCCAAGCTGCCCAGAAGGAAAAGGAACAGGTTGATTCCTGCATAGAGAAAGGTAGGGAATAGCTCCAAATCGGTGTATCTGACCCTGTGACTTAATCAATTGGCATTCAGAGGGTGAGTTTTGCCTTTGGTCATAACGTGTAATAGTTGTGCTCAGTAAAAAAAAAGTTAAAAACCCCTCACCATTTCATGTCCTTGGACTAGAACTCAGTGGTTTGAAAACACTAATCCTGAGATCTGTTTCCTTGTTGATTTTGCTTACGCTTCAGGCAATTTAATTTCAGTGCTGTTTTCCCAAACCCCTAACATGCTAGCCAGTGATGAAAAGGGTCATCAGCAGTGTGCTTCACCCGTCGTTTGTGGAAGCCCTTTGCTGACCCATGTCTAGCGGTGCGTGCGTTCGCCTGGTAGAGGGAGGTACCCGCTCTGTCCAGGCTGAAGGCGTGGGGCCTGGCCCTGCAGCCCTTCTGCGTCGGGAATTGTTTCGCAGCTGTTTAACACCAGCCTAAAAAGATACTGATACCAAAGCGCTGTGGTACGAACACTAACCTAAGGCACAAGGATGGAGATGAAAAACATTAAGAAATCATTGGTAAAATGACAAACCCGTAATTCGGGCCCTTTTGAAGTGAATGATCCTTGCTGGAGTAGCGTCCTGTAAAGTTCTTTAATTTGAACATTGTGGACAAAGTTTTACAAGATTTGGTAAGTGAGATTACACATGCCAGAGAAAATATTTAATGTATGCTACTTAATCAATTTGTAAACGAGATGAATTTTTCCTTTTGAGAGCTGCATATGACCTGGGATGACTAAAGAAAAATCACATGGGGTAATACCAGAAAATACCTTCTGACACTCTTTTTTAGGAATGGCAGGGTATGTAAACAAGCACCATTTTTTACTAGATCGGTTGCTACATAAACGAACGGGCATTCCCTCATTCTTCCAGCTGCTTGTCCCTCACCCCGCCAAGTTACGGAAAAGGAATTGTTTCCTTTACTAAAGGTGTTCCGCGGTCTGGTAAAAGTGACTTCTCTGACCATTACAGCTGCGAAAACCTAACTACCTTCTTCCAGAAGTGGCAAGAGTGTGGGTTGGCCTTCAAGGAACTAGGGAGGATCGTGTCGTCGGCTGATGTGTAAAAGCTTCTCTCATAAAACGCAACAAGAACACAGACTTCTACAAGGCCAGCGGGAAGATGATCAACACTGGGCTCTGCCGGGAAGAGGCAAGAGGCTGGCTGAGCCGGGCAGTACGGTTGGGCACAGAGAACCACAACAGGCACCGAAGTCCCGGTCCCCCCTCTACGGGGCTG